GGGGGGGGGGATCACCCGTGAATGATCTGGAAGGGTGACAGATTGAGGGGCCACTTAGGAGTGCACCTAGTGCAAAGAAGAGCAAAGGGGAGAAGCTCTACCCAACCTAGTTCAGTCTCTAGGCATAATTTAGTTAGGGCCTCCTTTAAAGTTCGATTCACTCTCTCTCCTTGTCCTGAACTCTGGGGCCTATAGGCACAATGTAAATTCCATTTTATCCCTAGAGCTTTACCAATCAATTTAGATATTTTAGCCATGAAGGCTGGGCCATTGTTGGACCCCAGGGCTAGGGGCAAGCCAAAACGAGGAACTATTTCTGTCAAGAGCTTTTTGATGGTTACTTTAGCTGTCTCTCTCAGTGGAGTATGTTTCTATCCATCCTGAAAAGGTATACACAAAAACTAGTAAATATTTATATCCATACATGTCAGGCTTCATTTCGGTAAAGTCCAACTCCCAATGTTCTCCTGGAGTTAATCCTCTGTGTCGGACCCCACGGGGTTCGGTCACCTGATTTGCATTTACCTTGAGGCAGGTGGGGCACCATCTCACCATGTCCTGGGCCTTTTGGGCCAATCCCTCGCTGAGGAAATGGGGTCGCAGGGCAGCCATCCTTTTATCACCGAGGTGGGGGGACTCATGTAGTTCGCGCAGCAATGTGTCTGCTACAGTGGCTGGGAGCACCACCTTTCCATCATTAGTCATCCACCACCCATGTTTACCTTGAGTCCAGTGTTTCCTGTTCATTTCTGCTACTTTTTTATCTGTGTATTCAGGTTTTTCTGCGAGTACTGGCATGGGAAACAGAACCATTTGCCTCCCCACTGATTTTTGGGCAGCTTGTTTTGCTGCCTGATCAGCAGTATTATTACCAATCACCTCGGAGCTAGACCCCTTTTGGTGCCCACAGCAATGGATGATGGCAACCTCTCGGGGCAACCAGATGGCTTGTAGCAGTGCCAATATCTCAGTCTTGTTTTTAATTTCCTTTCCTTCGGAGGTCAGCTGCCCTCAGTTCTGATAAATTGCCCTGTGCACATGGGCGGTGGCAAAAGCATAATGGCTGTCAGTGAAAACATTTATCCTTTTTCCTTTTCCCAGTTCCAGAGCCTTAGTCAAAGCAATCAGCTCAGCCCTCTGTGCTGATGTCCCTTGGGGTAGCCCCTGCTCCCATTCCACCTACTGGTCCTGGTTGACCACCGCTGCCCCAGCATACCACACTCCATCACGCACAAAACTGCACCCATCAGTGTAGGGTGTTGTCTCTGCATGGGGGAGGGCCTGGTCCATTAAATCCGGATGCCCTCCCCTCAAGTTTTCAGGAGTCTCGAGGCAATCATGGATGGGCGTTTGTTCGTCAGATTCTGGGAGTAGAGTAGCTGGATTGAGGCTAGCGGTGGTGGCAAACTTAATGCGTGGCTGTTCTAACAAGAGTCCTTGATATTGTAACAGTCTGGCATTAGACAGCCACTTGCTAGGTGAGCTATTCAACAAGGGCTTGATGGCATGGGGAGAGATCAAAGTCAAATCCTGTCCGAATGTCAGTTTGTCAGCCTCTCGGGTTAGAGCAGCAGCTGCTGCTACCGTCCTCAGACAAGTAGGCCACCCTCTGGCCGCTGGGTCTAGTTTCTTCGAGAGGTATGCCACTGGCCACTTCCATGGTCCCAAAAGCTGAGTAATCACTCCCTTGGCTACCCCATTTCTCTCCACTACATACAGAGTGAAGGGCTTGTTTAAGTCTGGCAATGCCAGGGCTGGTGCCAATGTAAGCGCAGTCTTGAGCAATTGAAATGCCTGCTGGCAAGCCTCAGTCCATTTGAGGGGCGTATTTCCCCCCGCAGTGGCTTCGTGCAGGGGTTTGGCAATCTCAGCGAAGCCAGGAATCCAAATTCTGCAATACCCAACCGCCCCTAAGAATTCCTGCACCTGTTTCTTTGAGCTCGGCTCTGGGATCTGGAGAATTGCTGATACCCTCGATTCTGCCAGCCTCCTCTTTCCTTTCTCAAGAATGTAGCCCAAGTAGGTTACCTTGGTCTGGCAGAGCTGAGCTTTCTTCCAAGATACGTGATATCCCAGGTCTTGGAGGACTTCCAAGAGGCCCTCAGTGGCCAAAAGACACTCTTCATCGGTCGAAGTTGCCACTAGGAGGTCATCTACATACTGAAGAATAGTTGCTGGGGGAAAAACTCTCCTTACCTCTCGTAGATCTTTGCTGAGAGCTTCTCCAAACAGAGTGGGGGAGTTCTTGAATCCCTGTGGCAACCGGGTCCATGTCAGCTGTCCGGTAGTCCCGGTGTCTGGGTCAGTCCATTCGAAGGCAAAGAAGGGATGGCTCACTGGTGCTAGGGGCAGGCTGAAAAATGCATCTTTGAGGTCTAATACCGAGTACCACACATGAGCAGGAGGGATGAGACTCAACAGAGTATAGGGGTTCGGTACCGTTGGGTGGATGGTCTCCACTCGGCTTATTACCTCCCGCAAATCCTGTACCAGTCTGAAGTCTGAGGTGCCAGGCTTCCTCACAGGAAGCAGGGGTGTATTCCAGGCTGACTGTCAAGGGACCAGGACGCCGGCTTCCTGGAGTTGGTGGATGTGTTTGGAGATCCCCACCTTGGCCTCCAGCAGGAGGGGGTACTGCCACACACGGGCGGGGGTGGCAGAGGCCAACAATTGAACCACCACCGGGGCATGGTGTTTGGCCAGCCCAGGTGGATTGGTCTCAGCCCACACCTGGGGAAACTTTTTCTGAAGGTAGTCCCATTTCTGTTCGGAGGCCTCTGTGCCCTCATTTAGCAATTTAAATTTATCTTCTCGGGGAACCGTTACCATAATAGCAGAGGGTGGCTTGAGTTCGAAAGTCCCTCCAGGCTCAAAGGAAATAACAGGCCCCAATTTTTGTAGCAAATCTCTTCCCAACAATGGGTATGGGCACTCAGGGATAACTAAGAAGGAATGGGTGACGGTGCCTTTTTCTAGTTTTACAGTTCGTTTAGTGGTCCAAGGGTAGGAGGCCGACTTTCCTGTGGCTTCAGTAATGGAGGTTTTTAAGGAAGTGAGGGTTCCAAGGGGGATCTTCAGGACAGAGTGGGCAGCGCCAGTGTCCACAAGGAACTGGACATCTGTTCCCCCATCTCCAAAGTCACCATAGGCTCATTAGGGTTAAGCGGCCATGAGCTTCAGCCCCGTCAATCTTCTTCATCTACTAAGAGGATTCCACCTTTTTCCTTTAGAGCCTCCTTTTCTCTTTTTTTTTTTTTAGCTTTTTACAATCCCTTTTAAAATGGCCCTTTTCCTTGCAATAGGCACACTGATCTTTTTCTAATAAAGGTCGGATCTTTCCCTTGTTCCCTCCTTTGTTTTCAGGTCTTTCTTTCTGGACAAATCCTCCATCAGCCAAGGTGGCTATAGTCGCTTTTCCCAGTCTCTTGGGCATTCTCTCTTCCAGGGGATCCCTGTTGTTAAACGCCTTCATGGCTACACTCATCAACTTTTCTCTATTCTCTCCCTCAAATCCTTCTAGCCTTTGTAGCTTCTTTCTAATGTCTGGGGCCGACTGGGTAACAAATGCCAAATTTATTGCCTGCCAGTTTGCAGGGTCGTCTGGATCGATTGGAGTATACGTACAGTATGCTTCCAACAGATGCTCCAAAAAGGCAGAAAGGCATTCCTCTGATCCTTGAAGGACCTCGCTTACCTTGCTCAAATTGGTAGGCTTCCGAGCGGCTCCCCTCAGCCCAGCCAGGAGATGCTGACAATAGTTCTGGAGAGCCTCTCTCCCGCCCGAGGAATTAACTTGCCAACGGGGTCGGGTGGACGGGAGTTGTGCCTCAATACGGCCCGCGGCTGTTCGTCTAGGGAGCCCTCTCCACCTAATACCGACCTTACAGCTTGTCCCCGGATTCTTTCTCTCTCCTCTGAGGTAAAAAGGGCCTGGAGGAGTTGTTGGCCATCATCCCAAGTAGGATCATGGGTATGAAAGATAGACTCCAGGAGAGAGATTAGAGCTTGGGGTTTCTCTGAAAAAGGAGGATTCTGGTGTTTCCAATTGTATAAGTCACTGGTCGTGAAAGGGATATAAACATAGTGACCTTGCTCAGTCTCCCGAGGGGGCAAGAGAGGAGCCAAACTAGTTTCCCCCACGGGGACCTCGCTAGGTCCATACGCAGCCCCAGCTCGCGTGTGTGGGGGAGAAGTCACCGAGTCCGGGGAGTGGGGCCCCTCAGGGAGAGGAGGATAGAGAGCGGTAGGCACCGAAGGTTGAACAGATGGAGGAAGGGAAGGAGTTCAGGGCCTAGAGTGGGATCCGTCTGAGGAGGTGGAGGGTTCCACACAGGGCAGAGGCCCCCCAAGGGATCTAGGGTTCAGGTTCCTGTGAGAGTACCGGCTTGGGAGCCCGGGTCTTAAGTCCCTGGGGTCCTTGCGAGGCAGCAACTAAAATGCAAGTGTATGTTCGAAGAGAACAGCACTGCAGCCAAGCCGGGGGCTCCTCACAAGCCTGGACCCAGATGTCTATGTAGGGAAATTGGTCTGGGTGGCCAGGGTGACCGGTGACTTTGCCCCACACCTTCCGGCAAATACTGGGGTCAAAGTCCCTTCGGCTGGCCATCCCACCCTGAAGGCTGGCCATTCCAGTTGGCGCAGGGAGCAAAGTCTTTTGCGAGAAAATTTTTCCCCGTATTCATCTTCTTGTTCTGGAGAAAAAGCCAATCTAAAATTAGTGAGAAAACAGTCAAGCGGAGTGGACCTCGTAGAGCAGGATCCTCCCATCACTCTGCTCCTGATGAGGACTGAAAAGAATGTAAAATCAGACACACAACAGACACAACACTAACACATAAAAGATGAGACAAACGGGCGCCACGACAAACTGAAACTAAATCTTCCCTTGTTCCTCGTCAGGAACCTCGGGGGTCAGGGGAGGCTTCCCGGCTCGTCAGCCACCTCACTCCTGACTTAACAAACGGTTGCAACCGGCCAAAAACTTACCTCCGGAGGTTTTCTGAGGTCTGTACCCGAGAATCTCCTGCTGGATCCCGCCACAGAGTCTCGGCTGAACCAGGGTTCCTATCCAGGGATCTTGCTGAGGCCTCCAAAATGTAAGACCGAGGGCCTTACCAAACGCTCCGAGGAGCTGACTGCAGCGAACAACACCTGGGAAGGAACACACCCGACAAGTTGGAAAAGTAAAACAGACCTTTATTAGTCTGGCCAGACGGCACTCTCCAAGCAACAGGCTTAGAGAGGGCCTCGAATTCAGGGGGTTGGAAGGTTTTATAGGGGCTGCAGGGGTGCTTAGCAAGCAGAATTACAGAAGCGGAATTTTTGCAGTTAGGGGACGGTTGGGGGGCGTTGCAGATGTTCTTTACTTGGCAAACAGGATGTTCATAAACGCTAGGTGCTTTGCCTGTGTCATCTCTTTTAATCCTCTTGACAGTCCTGTGATTTGCGACTGTGTTCTTTAAGAGTCAGAGAGCTGAGGCTGTGAGAACTCACTTTTCCAGTGGTAGATGGTAGAAGCAGAATTCCAGCCCAGCCAGCCTGAGTCCTCAGCCAGCCCTCACCTGAGGAGGGAAGAGTGATGAGCCAGAGCCACACTGCCACGTGGAAGCTGGCTCCTCATTTTAGGAGGACAGTCTTGTTGGCTTTAGTAGTGGGTATTTTTGTTTTTTGGTTGGTTTTTGCAGTTCTAGGAATGGAACCCAGGCCCTCACATATGCTAAGCTCCGCTCTACCACTGTTTTTAAATCTTTTGTTATTTGAGTGAGTACTTCAGAGTGAGCTGAGGCTCCTGGGAGTTGCCTACAGACTGGAACAAGAAGGTTAGGTATAGCCCACAGCAGCTGGTCCAGACCAGCTCCTCTCTGGCTAGCCTTGTAACCATGTGCATTTAGCACCTCAGTAAAGTGGGGATAATAACACTGCGTGGCTAGGTTGGTATCAGTGGCAAATGTAATACCTGTGAAGCCCTCTCTCTGCCTGGTATATGGTCATCCTAGGTCAGAAGATACTTATCCTCCCTGTCATTAAAAGGAACTCAGTTTCTGTTCCTCAGGCTCATAGGATGAAGGGTATGTAGGTGGGGCTCCACAGATCCTTATCTCTGTCATTGCCAGGCAAGGCAGAACAAGTGAGGCTGTCCAGGTGGCACTGAACCTGCCTTGAGAGTCCTGCCCCCAGGAGGGAAGACAAGCTGTAGGCGAGTCTCAGTTACCATGGGTCCTGAGCTGGGGCCCTTCGCAGGGCCCAGGCTCTGCAGAGCTCCTGGTGCAGCACAGAGGAAGTGAGCTGCCTAAACAGTCCTCATCGCACACGCACACACAGAGAGAGAGATAGAGAGAGAGATAGAGGGAGAGGGAGGGAGGGGGAGAGAGAGAGAGAGAGAGAGAGAGAGAGAGAGAG